GGTATCTTTGACCGAGATTCTCTTCCACCCGTGTTGCTTTCATCGATATTCGTCGCAAAGAAAGCAAGAAAGTTGTCATGCTTGGTGCGTCTACTCCATCTGTCGAAATATCCACCTTGGTCTCTAATAGCGAGCAACCCCAGGCTGGCCACACCATATGTGATTACTGTCACAAGCCCAATCACACTCGCGATAAATGTTGGAAGCTCCACGAGAAACTTACATCTAAACCTTTGGTCAAATCTTCTGTTGTCAAGGGTCTCGCTACAACTTCTAAATCCAATACAGTATTAGAATCCTTCAATTCTCTTAAAAGCCAAATGGAGCACTTAATCAAGCTAGTCGTCGAACTCCCACGTTCGTCAAGGAACCAATCATATGGAACTCACTTCTTTTGCCCATTCTAGTCCATGGATCATTGATTCAGGTGTCACAGGCCACATGACTAGAAGCTCTCAAGCCATCTCGACATATATCCTTTGCTCAGGGAAAGATAATGTCAAAATTGTTGACGGATCCCAAAATTCCATTGCTTGTAAAAGATTTCTTATATTAACAACAGGTCAAAACTCTGGAATATGTGTTACATGTACTTATGTTGAAGTGTAACATTTTATTTGTCAGTAAGTTGACATATTACATTGCTTGTGTTGCTCATTTTTCTTTTGATGTCAGTCTTGCAAGATCGTTGTTTGGGGAGGATGATTAGAACTGCTAAGCATGTGGGCAGGTTCTACTTCTTCCAAGAAAAAAACACGAAGAAAGAGGACACTACACCCAGTAGTTGAAATTTATCTAGGTCCACTAAATGCCCTATTATGTTGTTACACTGTCGTTTGGGTCATCCTAGTTTCCAGTATCGAAAACAATTGCATCTATTGATGGTTGCTAATAAAAATCCTTCTAATTTTAAATGTGAAACTTATCAATTACCTAAACATCTTTGTGTTTCTTATCATCCCACAAGTACACACATTTCGCTCATTTCTCTATGGGGACCCTCTCGCACTTCTAGCCACACCAAAAAACGGTAGTTTCTTATTTTGATTGATGGTCATACTCGGACAAAGTGGGTCCATACTTCAAAAGATAAATTTGAAGCTGCTCTCACTTTAAAAAAATTTCACATATTTATTTTAACCCAATTCAAAACTCATTCAAGCCCTTCGAACTGATAATGGTCATAAATTTTTTAACTCTATATTAGGAGAATTCTTAATAAGAGCATCATCCATCATAGTTCGTGTACCGACACTCAACAAAATGGGATAACAGAAAGAAAAAACTGACATCTCATTGACGTTACTCGCACCATTATGTTTCACTATAATGTCTCAAAACGTTTCCTGAATGATGTCATTCTTACCGTCACTTATTTAAAAAATTCACAACTTTCGTACCATGTTAGCCACTTTAAGATCGTGCTTTCTTAACAATCGGGTTTTCTCCACTTAAGATCCCAAAACTTTTGGATGCACGGCCTTTGTTCAGAACGCGGCGCAAACTTGCAGTCAACTTAATCTCAGATCCATAAAATGTGTTTTCCTCGGATACTTGGTTCCATGACCCTACCACCAACAATGCATATGTGAGTGTTGATGTCTCCTTTTTTAAAAGTGTTCCCTACTTTTCTAACTCAACCTCCAACGAGGGAAAGCTAAAGTTTTTAGACATTATTCCTTACTCTACCCTTATGGATTCCCCCCCACCCTCTGTTCCTTTGGTTCCACCCACTTCTACCACCAAGAAGCCCTCTGTCCCTTTGGTCCCATCAACACATCCTCCTACTCTCCGTGTCTACACTCGACGCACTCATTTTGATGCACCTACTCTGGAGCTTGCAAACCACTTAATGGACCGTGAATCCCCTCCAGACGATATCCTAAGCACTACTCCTACTCAAAGTCAGTTTCTTTAGTAAGGTAAGCAATCAAAAAGGCTTTCTCTATTCCATGGAAAACTATGTCTCTCTTCATTGATTATCACCGACCTATACAGCATATGTTATAACCCCGACCAATCCTCAGCTTCAATCTACCATTGAGGATGCCACACCAACCCAGCTTGGAAAGTTGTTATGGAGGAGATGAATGCCCTTCAACAAAATCACACTTAGGACATTGTTGATCTTCCTTGAGGCAAGAAAACAGTGGAATGCTTATGGATTTTTAGCATCAAGGTTTAATCTGATAGATCCTTTGAACGCATCAAGGCACAATTGGTCGTCAAAGGGTACCCACAGACCTACGGAGTTAACTATGAGAAGATATTTGCTCTAGTTTCTAAATTAAACACCATTTGGGTACTCTTATTTGTTGCAGTGAATCCGGATTGGCCCTTATTCTAGCTTGATGTCAAGAATGTGTTCCTAAATGGGGAGCTTAAAGAGGAAGTAGACATGATTATTCCTCCATGCTTTGATTTCACTGTCTCTTAGGGGCAAGTATGTAGACTGCGAAAATCCCTCTATGGATTGAAGCAATCACCATGATCATAGTTTGGAAAATTCACAAAGGTGGTGGTAGGCCAACAATTCACTCAGGCCCAATCGGACCACACTCTTCTTCTAGCATTCCTCCAGCGGTCAAGTAGTGTCTATCTTGACGATATTGTTCTCACAGGTAATTATCTGCCAGCATTGGAGTTTCAGTAGTGTCTATCTTGACGATATTATTCTCACAGGTAATTATCTGCCAGCATTGGAGTTTCTGAAAGGCACTCTTGTTAGGAATCTCTCTGGTACTTCTTAGGCATAGAAGTTCCTCGTTCATCTCAGGGTACTTGTCAATCTTAGCGAAGATATGTGATTAACCTTTTAACAGAGAACAATTTTCTCCTGTGCAAACCAGTGATTGTCCCGATGGATCCCAATAAAAAATTTAATATTCCCAATTTTATCCCTTTAAACAAAACTCACTACCAACATCTGGTTGGGAAACTCATCTACATTGCCCATACATATCCCGACATATGATGCGCAGTTGGGATAATCAGTCAATTCATTCATGATCCTTATGAGCCAACCACCAAGTCCACTATTTAAAAGACACGCTAAGCTCAGGTTAGTTTTTTTCCCATCACACCTCATGTTCTATTACAGTTTACACAGACGTAGATTGGGTTGGGTCCGTCTATGATCGGCAATCTATCTCGGTGTACTGCTCAATTTTGTGGGGAAACCAGGTCACATGTAAAAGCAAGAAGCAATTTGTAGTTGCTCGAAGCAATGTAGAAGACAAATTTTAATCCATATCCCTGGGAATTTGTGAGTCTCTCTGGTTACGCATCATGCTGCACAAACAACGTATGACAGTCTCCGCTCCCTTACAGTTTTTTTGTGATAACAACGTTGTCATTAGCATTGCTCACAACCCGATCCATCATTATCGCACGAAGCATGTTGAGATTGATTGTTACTTCATTAAGGAAAAGCTGGAGTTCAGAAAAATTTGTATTTATCCAGTGGTCAGTTGGCAAATATTCTCACAAAGAACCTTCCTTGGCCACTGTTCGATGATTTCAAATCCAAGTTGAACATAACTGACATCTATACTTTAACTTGAGGGGGAGTATTAGAATACTAATATGCATATTTCTGTATTAATTGCTTTGATTTACTTTTATTTACTTTCTTTTTTCCTTTATTATGTTTTTATTTATTTCTTAACTAGTAGATCTTGTAATGGATATTTATACCACTCTTTGCATCAATAAGAATTACCTTCAGTTCTATTATAATAGGTAGCAAGTATCTCTGAGTTATTTAAATAGTTTAGTTTTCAAATTAATGTGCTCAATAGCATGCTTAGCAATTTTAACATTGAAAGAGTTCATAATCAAAACATTTTCAGAATCATTTATTTCTTCATTGAATTCATGTAATTGATTTACTTCTTCACTGAATCCCTATATGACATTTAAAACAAACTTTAGCATATATGTTGAAGCCAAAGTAGCAGCTAAATATTTTCACTTCAAAGTTTTGCTAATAGTTGTGCTACTTAGTTCAAAAGCAAGAATTTGAGTATGATTATTTTAACAAAGGCATGCTTCAAGCATATGAACAAATTCTTGTAGGTGCAAACTTATTGGTGGTAGTTCAAATCCAAAGGCAAGTTGAAAGGCCTCAAGTGAATTAACGGTCATTGATGTTATTCACCTTTTAGGAGAAATTTTAAGCCAGCTATAAACCAAAAACCTTTTTTTTTAGATCCTTCCTCATTTCAAATGTAAAAATGATTCTTCAGACTTATTCATGTACTCAATTAGATAAAATAATCAAAATGACCCCCCTGACTACTTGCAAAGGGCTAAGATGATCTCAAATCATGCAAAAGGCCAAATTAGCTCCCAGAATATTCAGATAGAGATTAAAATAGTCCCCAAACTCTACAAGAAAGGACTAAAATACCCTGTTGGAAGACCATTTATGTTATTATTTAAATAGTCTTGAGATTAAATCAGCCTTTTAGAAAATCTGAGGCTATTTGGTCCCATGCAAATGGTCAAAGGACCATTTTTGTCATTTTCTCTATTTATTTATAATCTTTGTTCTATAATTTAAGTGAGTTAAGTTCATCAAACAGTCAATGTACATAAAATTAAGGAAAGTATTTTTCTTTCAAACAAAATAGAGATAGGTTCTAATACTAATTCACTCCATACCCCAAAGCTTGCGTGATAATGGATTGGCAGCTCATTATTTTTCCAAATATGGATTGTTAAAAAAAATTACCGATAAAAGATAGAATCCATCGAGCAGGCCGCCTAATCAAGTTTTAAGAAGTCAGCATAGGGATAAATATAAAATTATGGTAAACCAATGTTCTTGTCATTGTAAAACAGATGTTAATACCAGGCAAATCAAAAAGTCTCTAATTGGTTCATTACAGTCAGGAGTAACGAAACTTCAATAAGACTGACTTACACAATGCATCCACAATCTCACCAAAAATTATTAGATCAAATCAATCAATAGCGATAAATATAAACAGACTAACCTGCTAGCTTCGAGTAATGGCAGATGATCGTTCTGTGGCTTTTCAATCAAGTTTTTGACCTAGGAAAAGAAAAACAGAAAGCACTAAGACAATGCTAAAAGGTTAACTGTCATCATGCAAAATAGCTGTTAAATGCATGTGGTTAAAATAAGAGTTACAGCAGATGATCACTTTGGAGCTTTTCAAACAGTATTTGACCTAAGGAAAAAAAACAAAATGCGCTCAGATGTCAAAATTTAGATGCACCTTCACACAATAGCAATTAAATGCGTGTAGTTAAAATAAATGGCAGCTGCCGTAAGAAAAACTTATGTTACCACAGGCCTTGTCAAATAAGCTATTTAAAAAGTACTCACAAGGAATAGCACACTTAAAAGCTACAAATAGTTTTACTCCGCCGAATCTTAAAAAACAAAAAAAAACCGAACCAGCTTAGAATAGAACACTTATGCTTGATATCTAAAAAGCTTTTGTTCACGCAGTCATAAAAATTTTCAAACATGACAAATAAGCAATTTAATAAAGTCAACCCTAACAAACACGCAAATATCATGAAAATTCAACAGTATGAGCTCGCCCAACTCTCTCAAGTTGATGAATTTGCTCATGGTGAATTCGCTAAACTCAAACTGAACTCGTCAAACCAACCAAACTTAAGTACATTCAAGCTGGCTAACTATTCGTTAAAGCTGAGGACTTGGGACGACATCTTCAAATTAAGTCGGCCATAATATAGTCAGGTTATACACCTCATGTATATTACAATGAGTTAAAATAATTCTCACTGTGTACTTTTTATTATTCATTGTTGACCTCATTTTTGTGAGGTCTTTTCTTCTTGTGTACTTTTTATTATTCATGTATCTCAATTTGTAGCACATCCTATAGCGCTCAATTCCTTGTCCAAATCTATAAATAAGGGAAAGCTAGGACTACACGATCACATGTATACAATTCTTGCAATTAATAAAAAAAACAAGCCTTTATCCCGCCAGGTGGGATTGGCTACATGAATGTTTTTTCTCCATTGTGTCCTACTGAGCGTCATATTTTCATTTAATTCTAATAAATTAAGATTATTTTTTATAAAACATGCCTAAGTCTTTTTACCTCTACCTTTCTTAACATAAGTCGAATCTAAGATATCTACTCTCCGAACTGTTCTTAACATAAGTCGAATCTAAGATATCTACTCTCCTAACCAGATCATCAGATGGTTGGCGTTTAATGTGACCAAACCATCAAAGATGACTCTCTCTAATCTTGTCTTCCACCGGAGCTACACCAACCCTTTAATGGTCGACCAATAAACATTCGAGAAAATAAAAAGCAAGAAATATACAATTTTATGAAGACTGAAAAATCAACTTTTCAAGAAAGATAGTTTATACATCTTCCAAGTAAAAAAATAATATTAGGAATTTTGCTTTCTTATTTAATTAATTAATTTATTAGTTATAATACTAATTGTGCATTCATTGTTTTAATCAACTAATTAATTTATTAGTTTATCCGTCTTCCAAGCAAAAGTACTACTAGGAATTCTTGCAATTAATCAATTCTATTTAAATGCCTGAAGATCTTACTCTATGCCAAGAACTAGAAGGGGCAAGAACATTTGTTTATATTTATAACTCAAAGCTTGGTTTAATTCCAAATCTTTAGTGTAGAAAGGGCAAGAAATTAGGCAAGAACATTGGTTTATGTTTATAACATAAACCCTAAAAAAAGATTAGAGAAGAATGGATCAGAGAGACTTTAGCAAAGCATGGAGCACTAAGACTGTTACTTCATGACAGCTAGCAGGGATGGAAAATAGATCGGGAAGATCACCCAAAGGTTTCTGGAGCAGATTTCAAGAACTTCCAGGGTATAGCTCCCAGAGAAGCCATCTAATTTAACCATCAGGAGACATTTTACTGCAAGAGCTTTTCCCTCAACTCCAACAAATTATGAGATGTCCTACCCAAATACTAACAAAGAAGACTCGTATCTCTTGCCTTTCAAAGCGAGCAAATATGCTGCAAAGAGGAAGCCACAACTGAAAAACACCTTTTCTAAGGACATCACAAGCTAATTGTACTGCAAAGTTTCAGGTTTCACAACTTGGTCTTTACAAAAATTTAACATGACAAATCATGTCGCCTATTTTTCTTTACTCGGCATGAAGAATGCTTTGAAATGCATGTTGTTTTCCACTAATTCCAAGAAGTCAGTCTCAAGTGGGTTTCCTGCCTGAAACTCTGGAGGATTACATCATTCATTATGTTCAAAAGGATATTTCTCTCATTTGTCAGCACATAATGATCATTGAAGAAATCACAAAACAAGAAAAGTTGTTGAGGAACTTCATCAATACTTGCTCAAGAAGAGATGGAAGAGATGCTGGTAGTGAAAGAAGTGCAGCCAACTGTCTATTGAGCTGCCATTACCCTGGGGCCCGGAGAAGGTGCTTTTTGTTTTGCAATTGGATTACAACAACTGAGAATTTTAGCTTGCCGGAACATGCCAACAGTAATTGCAGTGCAGAGTATAATAGTGAGATGGTTGCATTAACTTCAAGTTGACCAAGTATTTTTGAAAACATAGGGAAATTTTGATAATTTCCGAGGTATTGATAAAGTATTTTTAACATCCAAAAAAAAGGTTATTTTTTTCAATTTTGAAAAGCCAACCGTAGGCGGGTCTATTAACCACTCAGAATGAATACATCATTCATTGAGTTCAAAAGACTCACCTAATTGTCCAGTGGCTATTGACGAATTCACAAACCATATTGAGGATAATGTAGAAACTAGGCAAGTCACTATGGAATTCATCACAAGGTTCCCGAAAGAAATGTTAGAAGTGAAAAATTCGGAACCGACTATAACTCAAACTGCCCTTACTATCTGAGACAAGGACCTTTATAGCAACAGAGAACATTGGTCAAGTTATTGGAACTTTCTAATAGTCATCGTAATGCAAAGTAAAATAGTGAGATAGTTATATTGGCTTTAAGTCGACTAAAAAGCTTTCAACAGTTAGGAAAATTTTGACAATTTTCCAGAGAGTAAAGATTGTTCACAATCTCACCCACAACAACATTTCAATCAAGATAGGCGAGCTCAACATTAAAGCAAAAAATGATGGGAGAAGAAGATATAAGTTGTCGATATCAATGCATCATAATTTGACTAATATGTTGTTACATGTTTCAAGGGCTAAGCTTATAGAGGTCATACAAAACAAAGATTACTTCAAGCGATATGCTTTGATGAAGACGGGTCTAATACAACTTAACCACTATCACAAATTGTTGTCAATCACTAGTTCATCGCAATTCATTTACTTGAAAAAGAATTATAGTCAACTATGTATGAATGATATGAGAGTATCACCAAAAAAAAATTATGAAGATAAGTGGTGCGCTCTTATGTTTAATGGATGGACTGATAATACAGAACGATCCATAAGTAATTTTTTGGTTAATTCAACTTCAGGCACTATATTCTTAGAGTTTATAGATGCATAATATTCAGAAACTGCAGTCAAACTCTTTGAATGCTTATATGCACAAACAGAAAAAATTGGAGAAAATGTTCTTCAAGTGATTACAGATAATCACTCTATATATGTTCTTGCAAATCTGTAATTTATTTTATTTACTATTAAATTCATATATATTATTTTTATTTAAATTAATAAAATCTCAATATATTTTCTTGTTTATGTAGGTCAAATGCTAATGGAAAAAAATGCACATGTATTGAACACTATGTGCAAGACATTGTGTTGATCTTATGTTAGAGAATGTTGAAAAGATAACTTAGGTGAAAAATACTATCAAAAAAGGTTAGAGTTAATTGGATACATATATAATCATGGACTTGTTTTTAAAATGATGAGAAATTATACTAGTGCGGAATTGATGAGACCAGGCATCATTCATTCTGTAATTTCATTTCTCACTATTATCAATATTTATTAAAAAAAAAATTAAGGCGTATGTTTGTCTCAAAAGATTGAAATAAGTCTAGATTTATTATTGATTATAAAGAAAAAAATGTGAAGGAGATCATCTTTAAATCTAGCTTTTAAAATGAAGTTTTTTATATTATGAAAGTTATGAGTTCAACAGTGAATATGTTTGGATTAGTAGACGGCGACAAGTGACAAGTAATGGGTTACATTTATGGACAAATATAATGATGCAATCAATGGTGTATTTAGAGAAGAAAAAAGAAGTATGAATCTTTCATATTAATTGATAGCATATGAAAGTGAAAACTCTGACAACCATTGAATCAAATTGGATATTATCTTAATCCGAATTTTTTTTAAGAACAAGTCTAAGATACAATCAAATGCACACTTGATGAAAGACATATATGTAATCATTAACAAGTTAAAGGAAGAGACAAATGAAAGAATGATATAGATTAAGAAGTTTTTATTTAAAATCCTACTAGAGGTCTTTTTGCAACTTAGTATGTTATCCTTAAAAGAGAAAAGAAAGCTCAAGGTATGATTAATTAAAATTTCAATTTTATCTTCATTATTAATTAAACATTTTTTAAATATAAGATTATAATTATAACAGTAGATTGATGGGATATTTATGATGCATTAACTCCAACTTTACAAAAACTAACTATCAAAATATTAGGATTGACCTTTGGTGTTCCTAGTTGTGACAGAAATTGGAGTGCCTTCGAGTAGGTTAATAATTCATAAATTTTAAACATCTTAAATAACTTATATATTTTATAAATTCATTTTATTATTTTTTTATAGATTCATACAAATAAGAAAATTTGACTAGATCAAATGCTCTTTAATATTTTACTAAAGAGAAGATTCAATTTAAGAGATACTATCGATCAAATTAGTTTGAATTCAATTGATGAAAGTTGTGATAAATTGCTGGAGAAATGGAGAATGCTACTAAGCAATAATTTAGTGATGAAGATCAAACTTCGAGATAAATTAAAGAAACTTTGGAAGAAGTTGATTAAAGATGGCCTGTAAGATTTTATTGGGCAAAAAAGAAGGGGTTCATCTCAATGATGATGAGTTCACCTAGACATGTATCTACTTCTCCTGTGTCATCAAGAGAAGATGAAATTTATTCACAAGAAGAAGAAGAAGAAAATTTGAAGGTGAAGAAATTCTACCTGAAGGTGAAAGAAATTATGTGAATGTAATAGATGACAATTGATTTACTTTAGCTTATTGTATGAAATTTGAGACTTCATTAGTTTATTTATGCTTTAAAATTTAGATTTTGTTGAGCTATAATTTTTTTTCCAATGTTTTAGCTTTTACTTATTACACTAAATTATCATAAATATTTTGTCAATTTAAATTTGCAAGTTCACATTTAATGTTTGCCTTTAAGTTTAAGTATTGAACCACAATTTTTTCTACTTTGTATGAATTTTTTAAGTTATATTTTGAGTTTTATAATTATTTATGAATGCATTTAAATTATTAGTTTCATATAATCTATTACTAATTTAATAGCATTTAGGGTTTCGTATTTCATATAACCTAACAAAGTATCGCATAACTCTATGTTTTGCACTTTGAAGCAAAAATAAATTCATGTGCATCTCATTGCGCTTTGGTAATTTTGGCTTTCACAATCCTAAACCCATCTTCACAAACAACGGCTTATGCCTACCAGCATTATGGCTGCCCCTCTTCCCTGTTGCCCCATTACTTCAACCACCAAAGATTGTCAATCAATTTGAGCAGATAAGAAAATCCTAACTGTAACCTATCAGCGGGACGAGTAGTGCTCAGCCCAACAACTTCAGTGGCAAAAATAGGAACAAAAATATATCTCAAGGCTGAAGTCACAGGAGCTGTAGTCATCACAGGAGAAACCGCAGGAGTTAGAATGATGCTTGAAGTTTTGACATCAGAAACTGCAGAAGGAATATGCGAAGTCTATACTTGAATTGGAGATTTAAGGCATGAACTCACTTCCCCATGCTATACTAGCTACTGTTGCTCGCGTACAACTTCAACACAGCGAGAAGTAGAAATAGTCACAGCATTAGAATCCTAATCTTCATAACTAAAGATGAATTCTTCAAAGTTATTATATGGGCGATCTCCTCTTTTACTATTCTTTTTGTAGCATCTCCTTCCAAGAATCTCATATTTAAAAAATATATATATAATTTAAAAAATGAGTTGGCAAATAAAAACAGCTAAAAAGGCCAAATAGAGCACTCACATCAGCGCAAGAGAAATATTTCTTAATGATTTTTGAGTCAAGATAAGAAAGAAAATTGAAGTAAATTAAATTTTATTTAATTACATAAAGTTTCCAAAGTTTCCTTCCTTTAAGTCCGATAAGCTGAAACTCTCATTCAGGAATAAGGCCAACTTCATCATAACCAGCCACTGCTTAATACACTCAACAAAATAATACTTTTGATCCCAATTTTTTATGTTAATTTTCTAACCCGGACAACATGATATTATTGGATGTGAAACATACACATCCATCCTTGCAGACCTTAATGGTGAAAAGTAGGGAAAAAAATGATGTTCCGTAAAATTTTTTCTCTGAGAGGTGGATAATAAAAGAAAAAATGCTAAATGATTTCAGCATAATTTGAGCAGGGGCAATTTCATAGACATGTATTAGTTCAACCAACTCTAGGCATTGAGAAAACACCAAGCTGTCTAAATTAAGTCTTCATAGCAACATAATTCATTCTCAATAATGTATCCAGGAACTCAAGAAGCATGTGGAGCTCTAAATAAACATGAATTATCCAACACAGATCATTTGAAACCCCATTGCCCGTGCAATCATAACTTTAGATAAGTGAGAGCTCTTGCATTCTTGGAGCAACTTATAAATCTTCTTCAAGGCATTTATGAGGTGTACTGTCAAAAGTCGATGCAAGACCAACTGGAGCTCTCGAGTTGCTTTAGCATTAATCTTCACCAAAATGCTCACTGATATTACGGCATTAAAATTTGGGAAATGTAAAGAAAAATTCTCTGATTCAACATCGTTTTAGCAAAAGATGGAGTACCATTACTTTTTCTCAATAGCAGCCTCCATGGTTATTGAAGTAATTTGCTCTGCTAAACAAATTGAGATCACCAAAGTCATCTCCAAAAATACACAAATTACTAAAACCGATAATTATGATACAATTTAGCGAGTTCTTATGATTACTTGTGTAAGAAGATCATCAACAATTTTGGAGACACCTTTCAACAAAAAAGAATCACCAATTGGCTAAAAAGGAAGATCTACTGCAGGTTCCCCAAGAGAATTAGCTATTTTATCCTAGACGACATCATCTTTCTTCTTAGTCGCCTCAACAAGTTTAAGTTACATTCTATCTTTTTTATACCGCTTAAAAATGCTAGCAACAATAGCGTTCTTCAAAATTTTAATTTTATCCTTTGGAATAATCATTTTGACGCAGAGTTGTAGAGCTTAAAGCAAGAAGGAGATCAAAAGAATATAAACCTTTCACTAAGGCGGGGGATGTTTATTTATAAGGCACTGATTGTGTTGAAACTGACAAAATGATAATAGAATCAAATTACCACAAACATTAATGCAGACCAAATCTTAATAGCTATCAATAATACTAAATACAAATATGTTTGAAAATATAAAAATATTCTACCCATTTGTCTTTTGAGGAAGCAACGAATTCGGCAAGTAAAAATTCTCTCCAAAGGAAAGTGTCAAAAACATAATATTGCTATAAATTAAGAAAATATAATTTTTATTATTTTCATTATCTTAATATTTTCATAATTACCTTTGAAAATTACATGAAAATCAGAAAAATAAATGTACACCCAAATATCCTGCAACTTCAACAGCATGAACTCACACAGCTAACATTGGAGCACTCAAGTTAGCACAGGTGGCTATTTACTTAACCTAACCTACTAGCTAACCCTTAGTGAACTCATCAAGCTCGGTGAACTCGTCAGCCCAACCAAGCTTAAGCATAGTCATTGAAGTTCTTGAACTACTCGTCAAAGCAGACTGACTTAGAACTACTAGTCAAAATTGTTGACTTGGAACAATGACTTCTATAAGTCTAAGTATATAATTGGGTTATATCTATTTTACAGCAAGTACTCGATCGGTTTTAAAAGAAACTTCTATTATTCATGAAACATAATTTATAGTTGATCCTCGTTCAAACCCAGGTCAAAACCTATAAATGAAGGTTGTCGGAAGAGAAGAGCACAGGGCTATGCAATCACACAATTTTATACAATTCTTATAATCAATAAATCCTGGTAAAATCTCAAAGCAACTTACCATAAATTCTCCTCTTGCTGTTATTTTTGTCCTCATCTTTTCATTGAGTATTAATATGGTTATGGTGTAAACCATGGACAATTCAGGATCCAACCCTTTCCAAGATGACATTGATCATTCCAAGGATTCATCTAGCATGACTACTATTGTTTGAAAAGCCATGTGAAAAGTGATCGGCAAAAACTATGGTACTTGTTTAAAATTTGTTGATTTTTATTTGAAAGAGCTGTTACTGAGCTGCTATTTTGTTTGATTGCTTATTGGTTGTATCACTGTTTTCACTTCTCATCAAAAAAATTCTCAGGGGATAGATAAGATCTTCTCAATGTCATTGTATTGAGGGAGGGAGGAGAGCTTGATGTGACTTGTGATGTCATCATTACAGGTCATACGGTTGCTGATTGCAAAATACTATTGTTCTAATCTTCTTGGAATTGTTGGATTGAGCAAGAGGGCAAGCATATTGCAATAACGTCACAACCGTGTGTCCCCATTTGTCGGAGCTTCTCATCATAATCCCCTTAGGTTGGGATTAAGGCCATAAAATCAACAAGGAGCGTCCATCGTATGACAATGTTTCCCAATGCTGGTTTGTGTGGGGTTTTAGATAGGAAGGGAATTTTAAGGGTATAAACAGATCAGCAATACTAGGGATGTAAATATATTTACATATATTCCAAATAGTAGGAATGAAAATGAAACCTAGCAATCAAAATGCAAGAGCAATAGCATGCTAAACTACTGAGGAGTGGCGTATGAATTTGTTAAGGTAGAAACCAAACGAGGCAAAATTTGCATTTCCAAAAGCAAACACAACAGATAAAGCAGAATCCAAACAAAGCATAAAGCATCGGTAGCATTTATCCACTGAACTTTTCAATCAACAAGTCAAACAACCAAATGGACTGATTGATAGCATTCTAGATAATCTCCTCAAGCATTCTAGATAATCTCCTCAAAAGTACTAAAACTGAAACTCTTAAATCTCTCAAAGCCAATCCTATCCAATAGCATAAACATTTCAGACTATGATTAAAATACCCAACTTGGACTTGAAGTTAATTTCTAAATACTTGGGGGAGCTTAAGAGAGCCTACCTTCGCCAGCAATTCCTGGCTCTCAGGTGGTTGCTTCTTGAGAGACTGTGGTAGTATTACAGTTAGCAGCTCTGGCTTTTCTGCTCTTAGAGCTCCTCTTATAACAGCCGCATTAGTTCCTGATGCTCCAGAAGTATAGATATGATTTTTCTGTAACAAAATTTGTTCACAAGTTAGATAATATTTCAGAAGCGTATGAGAATAACAAGACAAGAAGTACTAAATAATACCGTGATCACCATAGCATAACTTAGAATCTCAATAAGCTGCTGATGCATGAATCCCATATTCCGTGTCCCAAAGAAGCCAATTGCTCTAGGTCCTTGCTGCTGGATGGCCAATAATTCCTGCAAATTGAAGTAACAGATATCAGAGTAGGAGAAACCTAGCAATGCACACTCACATTAATGATGCACTAGTAGAAGCATAAATTGAAAAAAGATAAGTTACATTAAGAAGCCAAGTCACCAAGCAACAGAAAAAAGAAAATCTTATTAGAGTCCGGGTTTTTTATAATATTAGTACCTGGCTTGGTTTCTTGGACTCATGATAAGTGTAATAAGATGAACCAGTAAAATAATTCAGTTAAAAAAATCTAATATTTCGCTATCTTCTATCCACATGAGCTACATTCTAATTATCCATAAAATGATACGACAAAAAATCCTTTAATCCTGATATCAGGTTATGAGAAAAAAATCAAATGAAATCATAGACTACAAATCAATGAATAATACAAACGACTAGCAGCAAGGATGCAAACCTGCCAAAGAATCACCCTTCTATCTCGAGATATATCTGCTAGGAATATAACCAATAATGGCAACCCAATGAGAAATACCTCGAGGGATTTTTCTCTTAGAAAAGCATATGTGATGCAAGAAAATTTTAATTTTTTTAATTACGCTAATCAACTTTTAACTAAATTTTGAAAATTTGCTAACAATGACACAAATGGATCGACTGATTTAAAAGAATCACAGCACATTAAGACAAGCTGCTTCAAAATAACCAATATATGTAGGATGGAACAGCATTTGAGTAAAAGTCAAGCAAAAATAATGAGAAGAATCTAAATACCTGTAAATAATCAATATCCGGAATTGGCTTGTACTCTGATACAACCACTGTGGCAGAACCTTCAACAATAGACTGAGCTTGTGTCGGAACTTGGGGACCAACAACCTCATCAGAACCAAACATATATTGGTTATCCTGAGATTCATTTTCCAATGAACTCGCATCCCCATGTCTTCTCATAAGTCCACACGACAGTAACTATGCAAATAAAAAAGAGCCCCTGGCAGTAAATCATTAGTAAAAACCAAATATACAACGACAATTAAGAAAGGGAAGTAAAAAAACTAAGAGCATTAGAATGATGAAATACAAGAGTTCATAAATTAAATTTTAGGCATGTAGAAATGCTTTGCATAAAGGAGGTGTAAGAAAGTTAATTTCTATTAAAGTGTTATACAACCTCATAAATACATTGGGCAAGTAATACTCTGATAAGGGTTGTTGGGTAAAGTTAAATAAATGGACCTCTACATAAAACAATTAAAAACTATCGTTCTACTCCAATGAATAAATAATTATACGTAGGGTGATGGTCATAATACTTGTGTGAGCATGATCCACACAACCCCATGTGAGTGTGGCACTCCTTTTCAAGAGCGCACTTCACCGTTGTGCCTGAGTGTGAGAAACATTTTTCATAAAGGTTAGAACTGATATAATCAACCTGTGTTGCTAGAAGAATCAAAAGCATAAAACTTTGTAAAGAGAATAGTCAGTAAAGAAACTATTAACTTATGAGAATTTGTACACAAGCGTAGGTGATAAACAAATGAGGAAAGAAAATATATAATGTCAAATAGTAAAGTTAAAAAGTGCGAGATCTAAGAACTTAGACGTAGTTAGATGCAGTATAATAGATAATAGTAAGAGCTTAGTTAAAGATGACAAAATAAAAAAATAAAAGCTATATTTTAAAGAAATAATAAGTGTTCTACGGCTCATTACCGTTTTTCTTTGAAAAATTTAACATGCAAAATCATGGGGTATATTATGGATTAATCCACATAAGTCAAGTGAATTTAGCTCTACATACGATACAAGAAGTGAAACTTCAAACAAGATGAGATGTCCGTTGAGATTTGACAAGTAATGACTGATATTAAAGTAATTTAATTAGAATTTATTTTTAATCAAATCTTGAAGACTAAGGGGCTATTTGGAAGCATATTTTTAACAGAATTTAGGCATTAATTTAACTTAAATCCAACCAAAGATAAAAAATGCGACATTTAAATTCTACGCTCCATTGAATGGAATATTTGCTTGTTCCGTCCTATTTTCAAAGTAAATCCAAAATTATTAAATCTCATTTGCAGATGGATTTAAAAGATTTTCCATGGAAGGTGCTTCTCCATCAATAATGATTTGATAAATCCAAATTTATCGGATTAGTAAATCATATTTAAAATAAATCCGGGACGCAGCCAAACACCGCCTAAGAGAACGCTAAATAATTGAAAAAAAAAATATTTTAATACAATTATTCATAATCAAAAGAGCTTACTATAATTATGGTAATTATAGAGTAATTAAGTGTCATAAAATGAAGTAATGCAAGAGATTAATGAAGTATAAGATATCAAAAAAACAATTTTGTGGTTGCCACAAAGATAAACTGCAAGGAAATTTTGGGATTAAGGTAATTAATGTTAAAGTATGAAGAACAAAAGGGAACGTAATAATATGTTTATTGATAATTAGAAGGAATATCAAGTAAAGCCAGCACGCTGAAAAAAGGTCGCAAGTATATGGTAGAACATCAAAGATCTCAATATATTAGTTTCATTAAGGATTAAAACATTACAGACCATTGCTTCACTGTTAAAACACAGAAATGATTGGATCTCGCTTCCAGAAATGAGTTTATGCTTGTTTGATTTAAGAAGAATGTAACACAATTCCTGACTTTCAGAAAGGCGAGAAGTGAGTTCCAGCCTTGAAGGCTAAGAAATCAAAATATATTTTGTTTGTTCATGTAAAATAGGAATGTAATAAAATCAAACTAATAGGATGATTAGTAGAAATATTAAGTTTGTTTAAAATAAAAAATAATGTAAAATTAATGCAAGGATGGAGAAAAATGAAACCCATTACAAACCAAACAAATAAAAGGATTGAGTTCAAAAAAGGTCCTTCCTGAAAAACAGACGCCATTGCAACTCGTTGCAATAAGACTCACTTTCAAAACTCAGAGCTAAAAACATACAAGCACTTATAATGAAACAATTTAACCTTAAGTGTGCATTTATTATACTGCCATGGAAAAGCTTAAAAATAAAATTGAAAACGGCATACCATAGTACATGCTTTTCAAATATGAAACAATTCTACTAAAAGAGGCCTCTACTAACTTAGTAAAATACTTTTCAAATAAGTAAAAAATGAGAGTGAAGTGTTTATAATAGAATGAGCAAAAGATTAGAAGAACATATACAAAGTATTTTATGCCATTTTGCGAATGTCAAACATTAATTGAGTAGGCATATGACACAATGCATTTTTGCATCAGGAGCTATCTTGTGGGTAAGAAGAAAATTTTTAACAAAAGGAATATAGATGAGAACTTCTACATTTAAGGCTGATTAAAACTTAGAAATACCTCAAGTGTCATGTCATAAAAGAATATCATGATGCAACCAAGTCAATCATGTTAAATGGATCTAGCATTGCAAACGAATCACACCAACCAAAGTAGATACCTTCAAACTCGAGAGATTCAGTCCGGAGACCGCACGCAGGCTTACGTGCGGCAGCCAACTGAAAAGGGACATATGGAATTGTGGGCCCAACATCAAAATAATAAGATAAAAAACTTTTTTACAGCGCGACCCAGCTCGAGCCCCGTCCAAGTATCCAAAAAGCGTCTTTTTGTCATTTTTGGATCCCGCCAAATTGAACTTTTTGTCTTCTTGGATCCCGCCAAATTGAAAAAAAAAACATTTGGTCTCATTCCGATATAGGGCTTAGAAATTATTTTCAATTGATTTCTTTTTGCATTTACGTTTGTATTCAACAGTCAGGGTAAGTCACCGGATATAATTCTCTCTCGACCAAGAAATATTGAAGGAATTGTAAAATGATTGTGAGAATGATGCCAATGAGCTGAGCTTATTAGCTGCGGCGGGAAGCATTCGGCAGGTGAACTTATTTCTCTGTATTTACTGATGATATTAATGTTGTCCTAATGATAGTATTGCGCTGCTATTTTGGTATGATTACTGAAATATTTGATTGCAGCGTTATTATTATGTCGGAAGGTGGACGTGGTGTTACTTAGGTATTATCATGGTGTTATAGTTGTAGTATTGATTCTAGTTATCTGGTTTAGTTAAAATTTTATGTTGATTGTTAATGGTATTATCCTTTTGGTATTGTGGTTGTTTTTGTCCTAATTTTTTGCTTATAAGGGTAGTTGGGTGTTATTTAGGTTTTATCATAGGGTTATACTAGTGTTATTGGATCTAATTAATGATTTTATTGGAGTGTTATATTGTCATTGTAATTAGAGTTATTTTGATGTTATTATGGTAGTATTATGAAATTATTTCTGTATTAATGGTTTTGAACTATACATTTGTGTTATTATGGTATAATTTTTGTATTATTATGGTGATATTATTTTTGTATCGTTTTATACTAGTCTTATTGGATTTATTAATTGATTTTGTTGAAGCGTTATTTTTTTCATTCCAATTTTCATTCCAATTGTTTCATTCCAATTGTGGTATGTTGAAATTTGCAGTTCCCCGAGCCTGTAAGTGTGTGCATTGATTCAATTGCAGATAGCTTGCTCCGCACAGTGGTCTATAACGAGAAGGAATCCTATGAACAATATTGTGCATATGCACACCAAATTGGATTGGCCGTGTGAAAGGACCACGTTGATTTTTGACCAAATTCAAAGATGATTAAGACAAAGGATTGCATTTGTAGTAAAATTGATTTCAAGAAATAATTGAATAACAATGTGACGATGAAGTTCAGAAGAGGGAACACAATGACTGGTTGTCCAACCATGATCTGATATGTCGTCGATGTTGAAAGTAACTGGTCGGTTAAGAAATTTATAGAAAGTCATAACCATCCTTTGGCGGCGGGCGGTGACAAACATCTATTGCGTTTCAAGAGAAAGATAAGTGATATCAATGCAGAAGTGCTCAGATCGATGACACAATCTGAGAATAGAACAAGCAATGCATTTAGTTTTCTGGCTATAGAAGTAGGGGGAGTGGAGAAATTTGATTGCACGAAGAGGGATGCTTATAATTTCATACAAAGAGAGAGAGAAAAGTTAAAATTGAACATGGGGATACTAATTTTCTACTATGATTGTTCACTGAGAGACAAGTTGATGATACAATTTTTGCATGAGACGTCCAAATTGATGAGTCTGGTAGTTTATTGAATTTTTTTTGGAGTGATGGGATATCCATGCTTGATTATGATAGCTTTAAGGATGTCATAATATTTGATACAAGTTATAGACTAAATAAATACAATTTATATTGTGCTCCTATTGTCAGTGTGAACCATCACTAGCAAAATATTCTATTTAGAGTTGGTTGTTTGTCAGGTGAAAAAGTTGAGTCATTCAAATGACTATTTAAATCATTTATCTGGATAATGAATAACAAACACCCGAGAACAATATTCACTGACCAGGATCAAGCAATGGTCAGAGTCATTGAAGAGTCTCTACCACACACCAAACATAGATTATGTCAGTGACATATTTACAAGACATTATTTTCAAAAGTCCATTGTGGTGTGAGCAACAAGAGAGTCAATGAGTTATTTTATAAATACATGGGTAGAAGCAACTCCGAGGAGTTTGGAGAAACCTGAGTACAATGATTGAGCTAGGAAATCTATACGAGAATGTTTGGTTGAATAGATTGTATAAATATCAGGCATAAGTGGTCAACGACCTTCAATAAGGAAATATTTGGGATGTAGATCCTTTCAACGCAAAGAAGTAAATCCAATAATAACATATGTCATGATGCCTCCAAGCCAACAAACACCCTCAATAAAAGTTTTTTGAATCTTGAAAATGTCATGAAAAATTAGCGAAAAAATGAGACGGATTAAGATTTTAAATGAAAACATTCTGCAATTGTTCTTGCTATGAAAAGTAGTCTTGTATTGAGGCAATGTGTTTTAGTTTATATGAGGAAGTTATATTCAATAATCGAAGCAGAGTTGTTACATGGATTGTCGGAACTTACTGTGGAGTATTCAGCCACCGGAGGTTCAGAATTTAACATTAGAAACTTAGATAATGAGCAAACAGACAGACGCTAAACTGTTAAAGTCGACAAAAGTAATTCTGAAATTACATGCAGTTGTAAAAAATTTAAAATGATAAGTTTATTACGTACAAGCACTCTAAGGGTGTTTAACCATGAGAATATAACAAATCTCTGATAAATATATATTATTACGGTGGTCTGTTCATACAAACATCACCAACTTGTTCAAGTTGACTCATATATCGCACACACGTTCATAAATTTGCATACCGGATGAGTACATTAACGCAAGATAATAAACTTGTTGAGAAAAACCATGAGAATATAACAAAGATCTCTGAGAATATAACAATGAATTTGAAATTAT